TTAAATAAGAAAGAATTTGTATATATAATATTATCTTTCTTTTTTTTGCATATTTTGTTACCTTTCCTGATCAACTTGATTTTAAGTGATCAGTACTTACACAAACTAGAAAGACTTTTCCTCAAATTTGACAGACCTTTTTTTTCTTTATTTAATTCATATCATAGTGTATCCAATACTTCTTGTTATCCTATGGATGTCGTAAGAAGCAATAGAAAGAAACACGCCAGCAGATGAGCTGCAGTGTCTTCGTAATATCAACTAAAAATAAAAACAAATATAAAAATGTTCTAGGTAATCCATGACGAGGAGTCTATGTTCTAAAGTTAACGGTAAAGTGTGTTTGCGTCACAAATTTCTAAACATAGAAATAACTTTGTTCGGGGAAAGGTACATGACAGCTACAGCAAACCTACGCGCTAAACGCTCCGTTTACGTCAATAATTTGTACAGTGATTGCACGTGGATGCGCGATTGTCAATATTTATACATATATTATAATATCAATATATACTACCAGGGTTGACTGGCAGAGAATGCCACATGGCGTTAAGTCCGCCCTATGTACCCCTTAGCTTAACATGTAAGTTTTTAAATAAATAAATAAATAAATAATAATTAAACGTTAACAAATATGTAAAACTGACTTCAAAAACAAAATATTCATAAATATTCTGAATTCTTTTTTTTACTATTCTAAGCCAGCTCTTAACTATTAGCCCAGCTCACTCGGACTACTACGACTTTAATTTTTTGACACAAGAATCTATTAATCTATTAATAACTGCTGAGATGGCAGAATTGGAATCTCGATCACGCTATTCCCACAAGTCGGCTGTAAAATCTTCGAACGGCAAAGTTGAAAATTGGCTGAATGCTCCAGGAAATCAGCATGAGGATAATCGAGAAAATCTGACATATGCCTTGAGCAGGTTTTATGTAAGTTTTTTTGAAATGGTTTTTACTTTTGTTTTTAAATAGTTTGATTATTTTACCATTTTCAGTGGTCTAAGTAATATGACATTACAAAATATTTACATAGGTACATTAAAATCTTCATTTCTTTATTTTCCAATGTTAGGAATGGTGTTTTTTTTTCTTTGAAGTTATTTAGGACCTTTCCTGATGTATATCCTATCCACAGAAATCTAAATAATAAGGCACTATTATTACGATTTCTGTGGTCCGTTACAACACTAGTGACCGAAACAAACGCTCCTTGCGCGCTTGTGGCCTACGAGTCATATATGCGGCGACTAGGTCACACGCTTTTACGACTTCTATTGCCTTATTATTTAGATTTCTGTGATCATATCTAATGAACAAATAATGCCAAATTTTGTAAAAAAAATTAAATTTTTTTACAAGTTATGTTTTTGATGGCATCTAATTTCTTTTTGCAGATAGTCCTACTTTTTTCCTTTCGGTACCTTCTACTTCTTCATTACCAACAAAGTACCTATCTACAACTTTTATTCCATTATATTATACATATACGGGTACACTGATTTATTCACTGTAAATGTAGCTTAGTAATCCTATATATTTATATGGGATTACAAAGTTATTTATGCATCTAGAAAACTGGACCGCAATAGAAAAATATTTTAGTTTTTCCTTGATTTATAAACTAAACACTAATTGTGTTCTAAGTTTGAAGCACCTGTGTTTGCTTGAGTGCCTTAGAGTTCTGATGATCGGTCAGTCAGTGAGTGACAAAATTAAGAAACTTTGACTAATTATAATTCCCAAACTACTGGTTCAAATTGAATGAAATTTGAAATATACTGTGTCTATACAATGCCTGCTTGGTTTCTGAAAATTCAGGTTTCTAGTTCTATCCACAACGAAGTTATAGGGGGTCGAAAATGGCCGTGCCCCCAAATCATTAATGAATCAGTTTACCTGTTACCGAGAAATCGATGAACTACATTAAAAAAAACGTCACCTTCTCATATTTATGAACTCGGTTAAAAATCTTTATTTTTCATTAAAAATGTTGTACTCCAGATAATTCACAGTTGTCACTGTCATTACCACATAACACTATTACCACATGAGTAAAAAAAACGACTCTTTACTCATATGCATCATACGCTATTATTCTCTGCGTATTATATTGTTACTTATATTATTATTATTACTCATTATTATACCCTTTTGTACATGAAATGAAATAAAAAGGGTATATACAACGATTGAAGTATAATTAGTATAGTTCTTGCTTCTTGCGGTCAGTTGCGGCGAACAGACGCCCGCTCCGCCAAGCAAACACTCGGTCACACTGTGCGTCTATATATATATCTGTCACTACCGGCCACTGTAAAATCACTAAATAAACAGCAGCCACATCAAAAGAATAATATAATATTACACTTTAAATAAAACAATGTCCGCATAACAACTCCTGATGGCTTTAATTCTTCCAGAACTTATTATTTAAAGTTTGTACCTTTTGAGTGAACTAAGGAATCAAATCACGATCACAAGCGCTAGGTAACAAACGATTAGAATGATGCCTGAATAATTACATTAAAAACTTTATTCTTCAAGTGCAGAATTTTTTCTCCAATTATATACAGTTAAAGTCAATTCACAAATGCCGTAGATATGGCTTAACATACATACAAAACAGAAGAAGAACACACAGTTAACTTGAGAGGAGGCTCTTAATTTCAATAAATCCGTTTGTTGAAGTCGACTAAACAAAAAATAAAATCACAAACAAAGGCGTATTATCGATTTCGAATTCGTTGACAGACTCTGGTACTGATGCTGCGATAGCGAGAGCCGTAGGTTAACTTTGGCGGGTTTTATACATTGAAATTATATGTATCGCTCTTGCAATTCACGACTGCGGTCGACCTTTGGATGTGGTACTACATGTACATGCACAGTGTGACAATGTGCGTGCCTGGCGGGCGGGTGTCCGTTCGCGACTGACCGCAAGAACTATACTGCATTGTCACCTTATAGATACTCAACAAAATTATTATACAGCGAATGCAAGTTGCTGTCAGTCAGGCAATTATACGTTCAGAATTTAATCACCAAGCAACACGATCGCACTCCCCACGACCCTGAGATCTGTCGTAACAAACGTAGAATACCCAACGGACTGGCACTGTTCAGATGTCGCACTGCTTTTGCTAGACGGCAATACGCATATCTCTCTATAGTTCTCTAGAACAAACTTACTCTACTCTAAATCTCTATCCCCTTTCAAAACATGAGTGTAAAATTAGAGTTCGAGATTGGTTGTTGTCGTTAGATTATAATAATACGGAAAATTTATTAATTTAATTTAATTTATAGTTCCAAAATAAATAAATAAACAAAAAACAGGGAAGTGATTATTATGTGAAAATTAATGTTAACGTTTCGGTTATGTTAATGCATAATTTATATGTGAACTTTAATATTCATGTATATATATATATATATATATATATACATATATATATATGTTTATGTGTGTATGAATGTATGTATACGTATGAGCTTGTGTATGTGTACATATATATATATATATATATATATATATATATATATATATGTATAGTATAGATGTTTGGTATTAAATAAAACACAACATATAGAATAATTTATTATATTATAATTTTTTTTGGTATTTAATTTAACTTTTCTAACTTTCAATTGTTTAATTTTCTTTTGCTTCTACTGCAATAATGAAAACATGCATAATTCTTTTAGTGTTACTTGTATTATAACTCTGGGAGAGGCCGCTGATTCCTAAGATACAGACTAGTTTGGGAGTCAGAGACTTCAAAAAACTTTTGTGATTTATTGGTGTTGATAATAAAGAATTATTATTATTATACTAATTATACTTCAATGGTTGTATATACACTTTTTATTACATTTCATGTAACAACTTTATCAAATACCAACCTCACTTGAGCCCTTCCAACCAAAGTGCTGGTCTCTGAAGACCAGCAAATATTCCGAAATGTCGAAATCAAATTTCGGAGACTGGTGATAAAGAATAGCGTTACCACGACCAAAGTATCAGCTTTGAGCTCATCAAGTGCTTAATTGGATAGCTTTGATAGATTGAATACGGAAGGGTATACCGTCGTGAGTATGAACGAACGTCTAAGTAATGCGGCTAGGCATTTTGGGAAAGCTTTCCAGTTATGAACTTCAGAAGCTACTGCAGCTGCTAGCGATGATGATGATGCTTATAGAATTCTGATACTTTTATAACATTATATGTTTTTATTTCACCGATCTTATATCTGATAATAAAGTGAATCATTGCGTCTCAAGTTTCATCTGTATCGCCCGTAAAAATTTATGGCTTTCCGCAGTTGACACAACATACACGCAAGTAAAATGGTATATATTTTACCTGCGTATATATGGTGTGTCAACACAATTATGTCGTTCGTAATGCTTGGGTTTTTTTATAGGATAGGGTGACATACGAGCACACGGTCCACCTGATGGTAAGTGGTTACTGTGGCCTATAGACTTAAACATCTATCTTAAATTAAAAATCAAAATGCATATGCGTTTTCACCCGTGAGAACTAAGATGGAATGCCTCGTTTCCAGTAAAAAGTGTCTCCGGTTCTCTACACTCACCATACGAAACACAGCAGCATTAAGCTACCATTTTACGCTATTCTATGGGAGCGTGGTCCTGCTCCGGTCTAGCCGACCCATCCGTGCTACAACTATACTACTAATATAATTGCAGCATGGCTTTACCACGTATAAAAAAATAATAACTTAAATTCTCATTGTTTATTTATTATTTTTTTAAACTAAACAATGACAAAGGGACTCAGTCTATCAGTGGCCAGCGAACTCAAACTAAAATAAAGTTCTCCTCCACAAGGTAAAGTGCTACAAGTTCTCATAGGAAGGGTGACTGCGGCTGCTGATTGGCTTTATAAGCCAAATAGAACCGGGCCTCTTGTCATGTTAATCTAACATTAAATAATATGATTGATATTTAATAAAATATTGTTGCAGTTGTGCCATAATGAAGAAGCGGCTAGCGTAGCGAGCGGTATGGCGGGCATGCCGGTGTTAGGCAACAGCGTCGGCGCCGGTGAACTGCCGGACACCAGCCGTGGTGAGGAATCCTACTTGTATTTCAATAAGAATTTGCCGTCTTCATTTCTGAAGTGGCAAACTAGTCCATTTACGTTTTGTATAGTAGAGCTTACGCTTCAGATATAATACAGTTATAGCACGAATGAGTCGGCTTGACCCTGGTTAGGACACGCTCTCACAGAACACCAGCGTAAAATAGCAGCTTAATGCTGCTATGTTTCGTTTGGTTAGTTTAGAGAACCGGAGACTTTTTACTGGAAACGAAACTGAAAACTGGAAAGATTGAATCTAAGCCATCAGTCCTTAGATGACAATGCATCTGCATTTTGGTTCTTGATCGGGTAGACTGTGTGCTCGTTTGTCACCCTTATTCTATGAAAAACCGTGCATCTGATAATAATTGAAGTGGCTACTGGAGTCCATGGAGATCTTGAGTCAACCGCTTCCAGTGAGCTTCAAAGAAGGCTACTGATGCGTTTTATCTCTGATGATTAAGATGGAATGCCTTACAGCCTAAACATATTGGCTCTCTATAGCTTCAGAGGGGAACACAGCAGTGCAGGCATAGCTAATTGGCGACAAATAGGTAAGAGGATGGCATCTAACCAGACCGATTCCTTGGCGGGAAAAATTTCTAATAAAAAAAAAGAGATTTAGTGTGACAAACGAGCACATAGTCCACCTGATGGTAAGTGGATGCTGTGGCCCATAAACATATTTACCCTCAGTTAAGAATCAAAATGCAAATACGTTGTCACCCGTGAGGAGTAAAATGGAATGATTCCCGTAAAAAGGGTTTCCGGATCTCTACACTAACTATACGAAACACAGCAGCGTTAAGCTACTATTTTACGCTGGTATTCTGTGAGAGCATGGTCCTGCCCCGGTCGAGCCGACCCATACGTGCTACAACCATAATATAGATGCAGTGTGACTCTACCACGAGTAGAGATTTTGGTTTATAATAATCATCAAAAATCATTTAGTTTATAAATTTTTCGATTTCTCAAAAATATTCCCCAATTTTTTTGAATAAAACATTAGCCTAGATTACTCCTACTATAGATAGTCGTCAAGTTTTATTACAGTCAGTTGAATCATTACTAAGATTAGTCCGGATAGATAGACATACTGAGACTGACTCACTGATAGACAGACACAGAGATACAGGCTCCCTGTTCATCAACGTTGAATCTTTCATTATGATGTTTTCGTTTACTTTCGAGCACGTAGTAAAGCACTTAAAATTGCAATAAACAGTTTAAAATAATGTTTTTAAATATTTTTTTCGATTAATGAATGAGTGAAATATACTTTATTGTTCACCGATAAATAAGGGAAAAAATACAAATAGTAAAAAAGTACTATTGGCGGCTCGATATGCGATTCGTTCCTATGATTTAGAAAATTACCGTAATCCGCACTGAAAGTTTATACGGCTTGCCGTCATAATTTTCTAACACCGAACACATAATTCCGCTGAGTGATGATCTTGATACAAAATCTATCCAAATCGAATTTCTAATTTATACATATTATATATGTATATATATTTATACATATTATACATTCATATATAAATTAAAAGCTACCCCCACAGTAGGATTTACTCCTGTATCGTGGAGGCAGTTTACAAACATAAATTGCACAAGGAAAAATATCCAGACCCGCAACAGTTATTTGTAGGCCATATAAAATACTTGTTCCGTGCGGGATTTGAACCCGCGGGTCCCAGCGTAGCAACTCATTGCTAAGCCACTGCGTCACGGAGACGTCGTTAATTTAATAATAACTTAATAACCTTGATTAAAAGGATATAATTATAATAAAAAATAGGATATAAATTATTCTCTTTTTTTTCTTGTTAACATAACACAAATGAAAATATTCTTTGAACTTATTTTATCTCTTTCCTCTTCTTTCGGTGTTTCTACTTCACTTAGTACACACGTTGTCTCTTCACTCATAAACACGCTTTCAAAATATTCCTTCCATCTCTTTAAACTCAAAACTTCATCATTCAGAATATAGCCATTCTCGTCTCTTATAGCATTCATCATAGGCTGTTTTGAATGTCCCCTGGCAGTTCTTACAAGTTTCCAGAACATTTTAATATTTGCCTGGAAGTTATCCGACATTCTTCTATCATTCTTATCCGTTCTTTCTTGCTTTTTTCTTTCAACTACTTCTTTTACTCTCTTATTAAGATGTCTAAAGACTGCCTTTTTTCTTTCAATATCACCATTCGTACCACTAGAATTAGCAGCCTTTGTTGCTAGTAAATCTAGCCATGCTCTCTTCTTCGCTTCATACGTATCTTCTTCCATACGTATCTCACCATCCCACCATAACGTATTATTTTTCCTTTCATTCTTTCTCTTACTAACACCACACACTTCGGTAGCTGCATCCACTAAACTTTTCTTTACATTTTGCCATATATTCTCCAAGTCCAACTCCTTCATACATAATTCTTCCAAACCACTTATATTTCCTTTCAGTCTACATTTGAACTTGTTTTTATCACTTTCATATTGTAACCTTTCTGTTCTAATACGCTGTAACGCAGTGGTAGACACAGACGATCGATGGCGCCAACGCCTGAATAGACCATTAATTCGGCATAAAACTAAATAATGATCCGTTCCTACGTTAGAACCCCGGTAAACTCTCGTATCTACCACTGCGCCCCTCAATCTTTCATCCACAATTATGAAATCTATCATGCTTCTATCGTCACCTCTTTCCCAAGTATACATGTGAATCCTCTTGTGGCGAAAGCAAGTGTTCGTCACAAAAAGATTCTTTTCCATACATACGGTGTGGAGACTTTCACCATTCTCATTTATACTTTCATCACCAAACGTTCCCAATATCCTTTCGTAACTAAGCCTCCTGGCCCCAACCCTTCCATTAAAATCTCCTAGCATAACAATATTTTCATTTCCCTTACACTTCATTAACACCATCCTTACCATTTCCCAAAACTGCTCTCGGATATAAGTGGGCTTACACCTGTCTGGGGCGTAGACCCCTAACACAAACAACTTTGAATAAAACTATTATTTACGGATTTTATCGCGTTTAATTACTTTAATTTATTTTTATTATTATCCCGACGTTTCGGGTGCTTTACAGCGCCCATGGTCACGGGGGGGACTGAGATGTTTGACGTCCCAATGTCATAGTTAGTCCGGCTACCTTCAGTTTTTTAATATTAATTTTTGGTCCGATTTACGCAAAACGAGCTTATAGTATCATGAAGTCTTGCAGTGGTATGCTTGGGTTTGGGTTTAATTTTGTTGATTATAGGATCCCAAGCAGATGGTAGCACCCAACCATCTTCTCTATTGAAATTTGGATGTTTTTTAATTTCAATAGCCTCGCGTATCATCCTTGGTAGGAATCGGTGTTCTTTTGCGAGAATTTGTGGTTTATCAAATCTAATGTAATGGTGGGGACGATCTTGAACATGTTCGCAGACTGCAGACTTCCCGGAGCGTCGGTGCTTCACATCAGCTATATGTTCCTTCACGCGGGTTTTTATAGATCTCTTTGTTTGACCTATGTAAGAGAGACCACATTCACAATCTAGCTTGTACACACCTGCATCTTGTAGAGGAATATTACATTTGATGGATGGTAAAAATTGACTAATCTTCTTCAGCGGCTTGTAGTATGTCTTAATGGACGCTCGCTTCAAGATGTAGCCAATCTTGTCCGTGACTCCTCCAACATATGGTAGTAGAGCAGGTGCGCGCTCGACTGTTGCCGGCTTCACTCGTTCACTGTGACGTAGGCGCGGGACCCGAAGCTTGTTGTCTTGCAATACTTGCTTGACGTGCTGAAGCTCCGCGGCCAGATGTTTTCTGTCACAGATCCCTCGTGCTCTCTGAAACAAAGATTTACCCACGGTAGCTTCTTTAAGCCCACTTTAATTCGTATCCATAGCAGTCTTGGGCTTACACATTCATACTCTTTCACACATTGGCCCATTCTTTCTGAAAGGATGATACCTACTCCCTGGCATGCCCGCTCGATCTCGTCTACACCAGACCAGTATGCGGTATACATGCCATGTGTAGTGACATTCTTCCCCTTCCTTTTCGTCTCATTTACGCATAACACATCTATTCCTCTATCATACCTCATATCGCATACTTCATCCATTTTATCATTCATTGCCCCACATACATTCAACGTAGCCAGACGGGCCTCTGCAATCCACTTTTCGCCTCTCCGAGAGACCGAACGTGACGGGTGGCGAACCTCGTCGCCGGTTTTCCTCCCGGAGATTCTTCGCACCCCTGCCCCATTAAAGGGGCGCCGGCTCGGGGCCATTTCTTTAATTTGATTCCTCATGGTGCGAAATGGGGTGGTATATTTAACGCCGCTACCACGGCGTGGAGCCGAGTCTGTGGTATCGGCTTGTCGCTCATTTAGCACCACCCGGGAGACACGTGTAGGGTGGGCCTAGGAACAGGTGGTCAAAGCCTACGGACGCGAGCGACTTATCCCCCCTTCATCACAGATTTACATAATTAATATATTATTAATTATCCCTTCCCGTTGGGAAAGGCTTAAATATATATATATATATATATATATATATATATATATATATATAAATATATACATATATATACATTAAAATATCCGATACAAGGGTTTCGCTCTCCCACATTTTCAAAAAAAATGTGGGGGAGGCACACGGTCCACACACGTTGTGTACGGTGAGCGCCAACCAACTAACGCGCTCCCTCCGAAGAGGACGTTAAGTTGGGAACTGGACCGTAGTCCATAGTAAAATAACTGGCGAACCAGTAAAAAAGGGCTTGGCCCCTTGGTAGTGCGTAAGCACAAACATCGACCGAAGTCGCGCATGTAAATGCGTGTAAACGTCATACAGAATACAATTAAATCCAGCCACAGTGAATGTACCAGACCGCCGTTCCTGCAGACGTGATTTAAATGTATGGCATCACCACCGATTGCATGATCAGCACGATTACTAGCTGCAGTGCGTGTCATGAGTCTACCACTCACTTCAAGGGAAAGGGGTCCCACGTTGTGCGGGTTTCGGTCGCAGCCTTGAGAGTCTCCTCAGATCCTCCCTCCAGCTACCACCCGCATAAGGTCGACAGATATGCTCCACCAACCAATACAACGACTGATATAGCCAAAAGGCAGTTATAAGATAATAGTAATAATGTGTCATAAAAATCAAACATTCAAAGGTGGTAAAGTTACGGAGAGATATTATTATGTTGTTATGTAAAACACCATGGAGTTCAGACAGTCTGCAGCCACGTAATGAAGGGATCCGACGTGGGCAAAGCAGCTTAGGTGTGAGTCAAATCAAGACTCAGAGAGCGCCATTGAGAATAGCGTCCCGCCAAACAACCATCGCAGAGACGCACTGCTGCAGAACGCAAGAAGCATTAATACGACTATCGTCGGGCTTACACCATATCAAGGCCCCCTATACAATCCAAGCAGACATCACCACGCGCATACCTCCATCAACCAGAAATACGAGATGCGTCGAATCTGGCGCAGTACACCCGCAGATCCATCACAAGACACAATACCGCAAGTAGCAGTAAGCATCAATGCAACTTTCATACGAATGGCGCCCCCTCACAATACACCCACATGATTCCTATTGACTTTGGTAACAAAATTTGTACCGTTGTTAACAAAAACAACACCAACGTATCATAGTAGCACGCTACTAAGACGCCAGTGGACAAAACTCTATATATCATAGCGCTAATGCACTAAGGCGTGAAGTTGAGTACGCTTGTTACACTTAAAAGTGCTACCAAACACACTCATCCCAATCCGAAAGGCGCTACGATGCTGTCCATAAACGGTATGGATTTGTGATGTCCATGGGAAAGCCGTATTGCTATAACAAACTCGCTTACCAACGACACTAAGATAATATGTCTAGGACACATCGGTTAGCGAGTCCAAGTTTATCTTGGTCTCGAATGCTTGTGATTTCTATTAATATAATGCTTTTACATGTTTTAGACCCTCCACATATTTTTATTTATTTATTTATTTCTACCTCTGTCTTTACAGGCATTCCTAATACGACAGTGTAGGCACATAAAACTATCTAATTTAATAAGTACAGAATACAACTTATCAACTATTATAATACAACACATATAATGTCACTTTTGTGAATTCACCCAAGGAACAGCAGAATAAATCTATACCCTGTGCTACTTTATTTAGAGTGTGCAGCACTCGGGTCAGTGGGGCCTCCTTTAGAAGGTTGGTGCGTGCGCGCGGTACCGCGAACAGCCCGCTTCCGGCGCCACACGTACCTGTGCGGCACACACAAGTTAGCTATTCGCAATAACGCCTCGTTATACACTTTTCCACGCAGCAATTTAAACATATATGTTGCCAAACTTAACTCCCTCCTAACATTTCCTTTATTTCATAGACCTTACTATTATATGTCTTTAATATATAGCACTTTTCAGTCCACAACTCTACTATCATAATGCTTATGCATCATAGGGATCTATAATAACGATTTTGTATCATAGACCTTACTATTATATGTCTTTAATACATGGGACTTCAATCCACAACTCTACTATTGAAATGCTTATGCATCATAGAGACCATCTTTAGTAATGCTTTAGTATCATATGCCTTACTATTATACGTCTTTAATATATAGGACTTCAACTTGCACTTCACAACACGAACTCCCTCCATGACTTTTGACAATTTTTGACCAATTTTCCAACTATTTTATAAATGTTATTTACCTTGTATTTCTATTATTTAACATACTTTGAATATTTTAACAAAGCTTTTTTTTAAATTTAATAACTTTGAAAGGCAACATTAAGCCTTTAATTTACTATAATACTTACCTAATATCTGAAATGTATTTATTTTAACTTTATGTTTTTCATGTATTTTTATTGGTTAAAATATTTTTTCTAAGATAAAATTTTTTGACAGATTTATGTAGAAATTAATTATTTATAATAATAATGGGCCGTCACAACCTGATGGTCGTTGACTACTGCAATCAACATTTTTTTATAGAATAAGGCTGAAAAATTAGCACTCATCTTCGATTAAAAATCAAAACACAGATGCGCTGTCACCCCTGAGGACTAAGATGGAATGCCTCGTTTCCAGTAAAAGGCGTCTCTGGATCTCTACACTCACCACACGAAACACAGCAGCATTACGCTGCTATTTCACGCTGGTATTCCGTGAGAGCGTGGTCCTTCCCCCGTCGAACCGAACCCATTTGAGCTACAACCATAATATAGCTGCAGCGTGGCTCTACCATATATAAACTTCAAACGAAGAAGGTATCTAGGCGTATTGTCACCTCTGAGAACTAAAATGGAATACCTCACAGTAAGTATGCTGGCGCTTACCTTTTGCTTCCTTCAGACCAGCACACGGCAATGCAAGGACTTCTATTTAGCGTCAGAAATAGATGATGGTGGAACCTACGCAGATGGACTCCTAGCCATAAAAGGGTTTCTACCACTTAGTGGTTGTTTTAATTTTGATAAGGCAATGATATTAATCTATTTTAGCACATTTCAAACAGTGTGTCTCCTTTTAAGTACTTACTACCAGAATGCTAAGACCCCCAAAACTTTGTTAACGCAATGCTGTAAACTCTGAAACTATTCACGTTGTTTTTGCACAATTTGTGACCTTGACCTGTATCTAAAGTCAGATGGACGGCTCTAACCATAGAATACTGTAATACATACATAATAGAACGGGGGAGTGGGCGGAGCCCGCGTAGCCACTAAAATGTCACTAACACGTCAATTCACGCGTATAAATGTCAACTCGAGATGTGTTTTAATTTTACAATCGTTTCCAAATTATTTAAAAAATGCTATTTATAAATAAATATAGTCTTAATCCTAATATATATAAATTAAATGTCACGTTGTATGTCCGCGATGGACTCCTAAACTACTTAACCGAATTTAATGAAATTTACACACCGTGTGCAGTTTGGTCCAACTTGAGAGATAGAATAGTTTTTTTGCCCATGTTTTTTTGCTAATTTAAGTATTTTTAATACGACATGACAAAGGGTCGTCGAAAAGGGCAGAATAACGTCTGCTTGGTATGCTAGTATGTATTAAAATTTAAACGATTTTTTTATGATGATCATAAACATTAATCAAAAGTCTAAAATGTGTAAATTTATTTATTCTGTCAACACAGCGAATCGGGTTTGGGGACTCCAAGCCTCGTACAAAATAAGGTTGACAGCCATTCTATTGTGTGTTATGGTATTCTATGGTTCTAACTATATACGATACTATAACGGTACCAATAACTCCATTCCCTTTAAATATTCGAAATAAGCTGAACGAAATTTTGAGACATATTTAAAGTTACGAATCTATCATATTGACTGATAATTTCTTAACAAAAATCGTATTCAGATTCATTATCGTAGGTAGAGTTACAAAATGAGAGTCACATGCGACGCCAGAACATCTCTAACATGGTCAGTGAGTGTCGTAAGAGGCGACAGAGGGAAATTGAAACAGGAGATGGGCAGCAGCATCTTCCTGATAACAATTCAAAATAATAAAAAAAATGCGGTTGGTAACTCTGCTCTCCATGCGTGTCAACAATGTCAAAATCCTTCCTATGAGGCGATCTATGGGGGAGGCCTATGTTCAGCAGTGTACTTTTATAGGCTGTGGTGGATGGGGTACAGTCACTATAATCAACATTATCTAGGAAATCATCATAATAGATATCTGTAGCACAGCTCAAGTGCACATACAGAATAATGCGATCACTAAACATGTAACTGACTATACTTGTTTATTGCAGACGCAAGCAACAGGTCCTCCAGTAGCGGCTCCCGTCGCGGTTCATCGCCGCATCGTGGACAGGTAATAAAATATGTAAAATAAAATGGAAAAATATATCTACTTGCTTTAATATTTAGAAGTAAAATTAAAATTACTTTTCTTAATATGCAACATATAGACAATGTACTTCTTTCGATTCTTTTCATTTTGACAAAATTTACCCACACATTTAAATACGATGATATTATATATATATATATATATATAGATAATTTGAATTAAAGAAAAACTCATATTAAAGGCTTAATTTATCATACAGTCCTACTCTCCGGGGGTTCAGAGACAGCCAGCGTTCTTGGCACTATATATATGGTCTTTGGTACGAGTTATTTTTTATTATGGCTTTTAATACTGTATAATATGTTACAGTCAAAACTCATAATCGGTCCAACCCACTTTTAACTGCGGAAATCAGGCAAATGTAGTTTTGACTAAGGACGTTGTTCGAAACTATTTTTTACTGGTATTGTTTTTATGTACTCATATTTACTAGAATGATAAAGCTAGTTGTGTCTATAAAATATTAAACAAATCTTGGATTATCAGTGACAGTAGGCTAAGGTGCGGCTGGGGTGACTCTTGAGCTACCCTAAAACCGCTTACATTATAATGACATAATCGTTAACCATATATTGAAAGAATTGTACTAGAACGTTAGTCAAATCACATAACTGAGAACATTGGTAAAAACCACTTTTCGCTACAAAAATCAGTAAAAACTGTTTTTGAATAAGGGCATCGGTCAAAATCATTTTGGCCTGATTTCCGCAGTCAAAAGTGGTTTTGACCGGTTATGAGTTTTGACTGTAACATATACATTTAAATAATAAGGGAGTTTGTTTAATGTTTGACACCTTATCCGATTTCCGATTTCTCGCCAAGCGGCAGTGCAAATCCTGTTATTCATTTTTTATAAAATTTTATTGAAAAACAAATTTGCAGTCCACCAGCAATCAACTTCAACAAAAAATGCTAACGATGCGTTGTCACATTTGAGGGGCAGAATGAAATGCCTCACAGTGATTAACTTAGCTGTAGAAACCTATTTCTAGAAGGTGGTGCATAGACAGACTTCTGGATAGAAAAGGTGTCCTAGCATTGAATCACTATATATACAGGATGTTAGAAATTTAATTTAAGCCCTAAAATGTGACTTCAAAACTGTTTTTCTTTGTTTAAAGCTCTTTAAGGTACCAGTAGCCTCTCGAATGACCGTACGTATACCACTAGATCACCTGAAATATTACCTGTTTTTTTTTAAATGCTAATAGTTGTAAATCTTACTTTAGGGTATACTGTTTGACACATGAGCATCCAAGACTTATTGATACCTAAAAAATTTTAAGTGTCAAACCCAAATACCATTGATTAGAAGAAGCTTTATTTATACCTAGTGGAAGTGCGTGCGTCGGTGTAGACTTCAATTCTCAATTAGGAATCTAAATGCAAATGCATTGGCATCACTGAGGTCCGAGATGGAATGTTTTGTAACCAGTAAAAAGGTCTTCGGTTCTCATACTCACCATAAATAACATAACAACACTATATTGCTATGGCAATTTCAGCAAATTGCTGATGTTTTGTGAGAGACATGCAAATCAGAGAAATAAGAAGAATTTAGCTTTCACCGGAGTCGCTAATTTCCACTATTCATAAAATGTCTGACGTCATAAGCGTAGTTTTTTTTTCGTTGGTGTTCATTAAAAAAAAGCTAGAAAGTGCGTTATTAGTCTTCCGTTTGCCATACTGTGAGTACAAGAGAATTCATAACCCAGTTATCCTATCTCTTTTCTTGGTTATAGGTTATTGTCAACTATCACTTAGTAGCAAAAGTCATGAAGATAACGTTAAAAGCGATGTAGAGTTATGTTAGTATTATTACGTATTGTGCGACATAGTGTTACAATCATCTGGTATAAGATAGTTTTAAAATAAGGGTTGCTAGATCAGTCGAGTCAAAATATGTAAAGATGTTTTTAAAATAACGGCTCGGAAGCGCAGTGGCTAAGCGTTTGGCTGCGAAACTGCGAGGCAGCGGTTGAAAACCCGCGCGGAACAAGCATTAGCATATAAATATTATCAATAAATAATTGTTACGTGCACATGGTAAATCAGCTGTGCTATTGACAATTTTACTGGTGCTGGCGGGGATCGAACCCAAGTTGCACGCGTACTGTGAAATTTACAGCGAGCACTAACCATCTGAGCTATTACGGTTGCTTACCACGTGCTCGGCGGTGAAGGAAAACATGGTGAGGAAACTTGTATGTATGAGAAATAAGAAAAAAAATATTTCGAAAACATATGAAGTTCGCCAACACGCATTGGGGCAGCGCGGCGGATTCCCTTGCCCTAAACTTCTTTCAGAAGTGGGAGGAGGCCTGTATCTTAAAAGGCTGTAACTTTAACTTTTTTAACTTTAGTTATTACGTGACTGGTTCTTTGTTCTCATGCAATTTATGTTTGTAAAACACCCCCAGGATACCATGGAAAATAGTAGTTAGATTATATATAATTTACATTATATAATTTCTTAAGAAAAGGAAAATCCTGACGATTTAGTTAGTTGTTGTTAAATTTTTGAATCATAATTTCGCTTTTTTATTTGTAAATGTAAACTAACTACATACCTATGATACTTAATACTATTTATTGATTGTAAACAGTGATGAGATTGTACAAATTCTTATTTAAAAAAAAATCCGTTAAATTAACTCCATGAATTAAATTTTTAAGCAACATGTACTTTGCGTTTGCTTTCAACGTTTTTATTGCTTGAAGCTTAGTGCTTGGAGCTTTGAGAAAATTTTAAATTGTGAGATGCACACCGTCGTCGTCACAACGTCCGACGGTAATAAGGTTTCGAAAAATTCAAGACAAATCCTGGCAAGTCTGGTTATCAATTCTATTAAAATTACCAACGTGATTATAACAGGGGTTCTTAATTTTTTGTACAAAATATTAAAAAACAAGGAAATACTTTACTAGTTGAAACTATTACAATAAGTAAGTGTAGGTATTTACTAGGTATTTTTATCTATAATTTAGCTACTGAACTTAAAAATGTTCAACATGTTATATACAAGTATAGCTTTATTGTTAGAAAGTTGTGTAGGTATTCTATTATTTCTTAATCATCGCGTAAAAGTTATTCTATCAAATAAATTAAAAAGTTAGAGCCGGGCTGTATGAGACTCTGAGAGATATAACATAGAAACAGAAACAGAAACTTTTTTATTCAATGTAGATTATAAGCAATATTTATTGAAAGGCAATTTTTTCATTTACCACGTCGCAAAAACCTCTGTCGGGGAAGCTTTTTTTAAATAATATCTTACAATCATGTTTACAATTAACAACACATTAGAAATAGCTTTTAGCGATCATTGGGGTTACTATCATCATAATTCCTTAATTATTTTTTTTATTAGTTTTTTTAATGTTAACGTTGCATATTTGTGCCATTTGCTGTAGAAGCTATCAGGGCATGGTGTCCATGTACGACGAAGTTTTTAAAGGAAAAGGAACAGTGTCCGCTGGAGTTCCTATAGGAACTTCGCCGCTTTCTTTACTCCCTCAAAAGGAAAAGCAGGCAGCGTTCTTGGGCCTGTACCGCGGGGAGTAGGAGTCTATGATAATTAAAGTTTTGTGTTTTAGTTTTTTAATTAAAATGATAAATATTGTAAATTTTTATAGTAGGTAAATAAATGTAGAATCTATTAATAAATTATATAAATATTATATAACCTAGCACATAATATAAATGTGAAACACTTTAACTAGTTAAGAATTATAGTTGAATTTAATAAAATAGTTCATGTTGTATTTAATAAAATGAATAAATTTTATCTGTTGATAGTAATATCGGCACTAAATTAAATATCTGATATCTCTTGCCACTGAATTGCAATTAAATAATCAAATCAGTATAACAAGTTTCCTGTCAAGAATCTTCCGATGTTCCTGAAGTCAAGAAATATGTACGAACTTGTCACAGAAGCATTAATTGTGTTATGTGAACAAGATTTAACTAAGAAGTCTTTACTAAACCACAGAATAAATAATAAACTAAACATCCTCAGTCATATTTGTTATTATGTTGAACATTTTTATGGGTATATGATAGACGAGCACATAATTATGATGATAAGTAATGATTTTTCGCCACATTGAATAAAACTATTATTTACGTATTTTATCGCGTTTAATTACTTTAATTTATTTTTATTATTATCCCGACGTTTCGGGTGCTTTACAACGCCACGGGGGGGGGGGGTTCACGGGGGGTCCCCCCGTGACCATGGGCGTATATAAAATATAAAATCCGTAAATAATAGTTTTATTCAATCTGATGATAATTAGTTGCTACAGCCTAAGACACCTGCATCTTTCCTCCACTAAGAATCAAATTGTAGACGTGTTGTCTCCCTGAGGACTAAGACAGAATGCCTTGTTACCAGTAGAAAGGGTCTTCGGTACACTCCTATCACTTTCATGATGTCAAATATAATAAAAATAATAAAACCTACAAAACTACAATAGAAAGGGCACGTTGATTTAGATTTTATGATACTTTATATATAAGACGTGTCTTCCATATTTAACCCACAAATTTACCTTCTTTTGGCTGAACCTAACTAATATAAAGTAAGAAAACAGGTAACAGTGAATATTCAAACAATTTAAGTTATACCAAAATATTTAAAAAAAATGAGCGTCTCAACTGGTCACAATGTGTTTTAGGAACAAGAAATTGATGTATGCTGTCATCGGCCAGACTTAAACAGTACATTGGCTACCAGGTCACGCCCCACCAGCTATGAAAGGGACTACCTAGAAAATAATAAAGTGCCGACCATGGTTTGTAGTGTGTTTAATATCCGTTAATTTATAGTCACTAATAAGCTATTTCTAAGTTTGAATAAAATAAAATTTAAGGTTTCTTTTCAATGCCGTAGAATGCGCGTGATTATAAGAAATATTGCTATTATTATATATGTTTTATTTGAATAACTGACAAGGAACTGTTAAATGATAAAATAAGGCGGCCCGAAAACAAGCGCTAAAAAAGAAAAGTTTTCCAGTGGTACTTCAATATCGACACAAACAACTTATGGTAACCTCCCTATGGAAAGATGCATGACAATGCACGTAGATCAGGACCGTATTTATTCAATATATGGGATAGGCTTATGTTTAATAATAGATATGTGATATAGCGATGATGATAATGATGGACGATAAACAAGCCTACAACTTATGTGGTGGATAGTGGTATGCAGTTAGGTACATTGACACGTCTATGTATCCTTTTTTAAATGAAGATATGGGAGCAATTGTACTTTTATGGACTAAGGTTAAATATCTCAAAAGGCCAATAATCGGGTGTGAATTGTAATGGGCTTATGAAAATAACTAGGATCATCATCATGGTCCGACAGCCATTTCACTGCGCGACATCTACCAAATATATAATTCTCAAATAGATCTTCTCGGCTTGCCGCTAAGTTCGCAGATTATAAAAATATGGGAAAACAAATATTATCGAATATGGGAAAGTCATCGTAGCTTTTGTTATATTTCTATTCTTCCATATTTTCTGTGGTGGCTTATTATTTCCACATTTTATTTCTATTTTTATTTCTATTTTCTAATTGAACTAATTGCGAGCTACATACACCTCGAAGGTGGGTTTTGATCGTAGAGGAGATTTGCACGAAAATGTGTTACTAATAGTAGGCATACTAATTCATCATACTTCTACAGGCATCACTTAGCAGCGGTGGGGTGATAACCCACACTGCACCCTCATATGAGGAACAGCGGGCCAGCCCCGCCTTACTCAACCGCAACACCAGCACACCCGGGGGAAGGAGCACCGTCCGCGATGATGGATACTGCTCAGCTGGGAGCACCCCAAGAGCTTTTGGTTAGTAATTAAAGGAAAGTAGATATAAATATAGATAATAATATTTCATAAGATAATAATATTCGCATATTATTACAATAATATTAAAACAAAAAATCTAGAAATGGACATACAGCAAACAAATGTCCAAAAACGTGTTAAAATATTAAGTACGGTGAGGAAATTTCATATAAAAAACGTTTTTATAGATATTAACATGGCGGGAAGATTTTCATAATAAAATATTTTATGTTTATTAGTTACAACTTTATACGTAGATACAAAATACGAAAATAGTAAATAAATATTAATAGATCATTAAAGTAAACGAAAGCATATTGAATGTGAAGAATAAGTATGTATTCTTACATGCAACTGCCACGCTGCACCTATATTACGGTTGTAGTACGAATGGGTCTTTTCAACCGGGGAAGGATTTAAAAAATAGATGGGATTAAGGGCTTTTTATATCGCTACCTAACATAAAATATAGTGTTGTGATACACGTCATAGTAGTAATCCCCCGCGAGTAGGCAGAGTCCAAAAAGCAGCAAGCTACTTGGGCCACGTTTACCCATGAAACAATGGCTATATCCATCGCCTCCACAATCACAAAGCCAATATCCCATTTCTTGCCTTTTCGACATGCTAGGCAAGTAACACTGGAACATGCTTTTCTGTTATACATCCCATATAAACATACGATCTATAAGTCCCAGACCAGCATGGGACAAATCGTTTTTATATCATTCGTTACTGAAATATGTCATTAGTACACAGTAGCACTATGCTGCTATTTGAGTCAGGTAGTCTATGTGGGTATAGTTCCTTCCCGATGGAACGAATGGAACGATGGCACGAATGGATCAATCCATCCATTCGTGATGCTGTAGTTTTATATTTTTGTTTCACTTTCTACAACACTAATGCGAGAAATAAACAAAATATATTCACTTATATTCACAAAGGCTGGCCATTTAACTTGAAGAAATTACAACCGGTGGGAGGTGCTCGAGCCGCAGCCTCGTATCGGTAAACAACTTGTGTGGCATCCACCCATTATGATGTGGTGGATTGACGACCTGGTACGAAATGTACGAAGTTAATGACAATCATTGAAGGGGGGGGGGGATATGTTCAGCAGTGGACTTGTGAAGGACTGTAATAATAATGATGATGATGATAGACTCAAAATGTCTCCATAACATAATCGTTCATTTGTTAATTGAAATATATTTAACAATATTGAAAATCTTATAACAAAAGGTCAATAATTTAAATGTAAACGAAGAACAACATAAACAAACGGAAGGAACAAAACAAGTGAAGAGGCAATAAGTCTCCGCGGGATGGTAGAGAGCCCTACAAAACTACTTTACTGCTCTAATACGCTTTCGCTTTCTTATTATGTATTTAACGTTACACCTGAAGGCAAATATTAATATTTTCATCAAATTTTCATTTTCATTTCTTGTTCAATTTAAGTAGAGGAATTTGCTATTACTCTTAGTGTCTAAGAAAATGGAATTTTTCGCATAAAATATGAATTAGATGTTTAGTTTTTTTTTCACTTTAAATATTAAATAAGTGTTTAGTTTTTTTTAAATCGATCCGAATCAGTTAAAATAAAAAAAAAGTTATTGGGTTTTCTGTCAATATATACTCTCAGTAGCCGCCTGGAGTCTGCAAGTTGCTCATACCTCGTAAAACACTTAAAGCCGTTCGTCCTGCACCTGATCTCTCTCCGGTCGTGTTGGATTTCCGTCCCATCGGACCATGAGAGTGAGGGAATAGAGAGCACACCCATGCACAGATGCCTAGCTTAGATATTAAACCTTATTCATGATCTTTAAAATAATTGTGTGTTCTACGGACCATTAACTTGTCTATTACTAATAATATAATATAATACTAATTGATTCATTCAGAATTGCTAAAAATACTTGTGAAGTGAAGTTCTTACTTTTGATTTTGTGCTGTGCAAAAGCAAGTAAAATTAAATCGTAGAAAAAATGGAATGAGAATCCAATGCATTCAACGAGAGGTGTCCGTAAGGGCATTTACATAAAATTGAATTTTAAATGAAAAACTATGACTCTCGTGTGCCATCGTCTTTATGAATGAATTTTAATTTGTTATTCTAATCTTTATATGAAATAAAATAGATTTACAGGAAGTATGATGATGTGACAGACAAATTCGCTGTTCGCCTCGCTGGTTTTAGATTTACCATTTGCAAGTCTACCAAATCTAAATTTTGGGACCGACCGAGCTCTTTCCGATCAGCTTGACTCACTGGCACTGCGAAGAGATGTTGCATCTCTTTGTGTATTTTATCGCATCTACCACGGGGAGTGCTCTGAGGAATTGTTCGGACTAATTCCAGCCGCACAGTTTCACCATCGCACATCGCGACAAAACTCGCGATACCATCCATACCATCTGGATGACTGGCGGTCCACCACTAAGCGATTTAAAAGAAGTTTTCTTCCTCGCACAACTTCCTTGTGGAATCAACTACCACCAGAGATTTTTCCGGACCGATACGACTTAGAGACCTTCAAGAAAAGAGCCTATTCCTTTTTAAAAGGCAGGTAACGCATCTGCAATCCCCCTGTTGTTGCAGCTGTACATGGGCGACGGTAATCACTTACCATGAGGTGAGTCGTATGCTCATTTGCACCTTCTCCTATAAAAAAAAATTGACGGTCGCAGTAGCAGAAGTGTCACACATTTGACACTGCTCTCCGCTGAAGCATAAACCCATCATCCATCATTTTGCAAAGTACTTTTTCTGCATTTCGTATTCAAAGCTAGCGTAAATTTTTACGCCGATATCTAAGTTAATTCTACAAAATGAGTAAATCCAAAAAACATTTATTCCTTGCGCTCATCAAAAGGTAATCAATCATTAAACGACACAAATCCCGTGAAAAGACCTTTATAAACCTTCTCCATTATTGTATTTTATCCTAATTTATAAAGCAATTGAATTTGATTTTAAATAAAAAATCAAGGACTGGGAAGGTGTCATGAAAAATCGATTAATAAATACACATTATTACAATAGCACTGGCGCCGTTAAGTACATTTATTTTATATAGTCATTGCATAATATAGGTAGGTATATTAAGACGTTGTAATTACTAAGCATTTTATCTTAGTCCTCAGAGTTAAAAATATTTGCAGCCTACTCTGTTCATAGTTGGTTGAAGGACGTTTATTACTCTTATATTACATACGTGTACGTTTTTACGTGGTAGAGCCACGCTGCAATTATATAATAGCTGTAGCACGAAGGAGTCGGCTCGACCGGGGAAGGATCACGCTTTCACGGAATACCAACGTAAAATTACAGCTCAATGCCGCTGGGTTTCGTGTGGTGAGTGTCGAGATCCGGAGACCCTTTTTACTAGAAACGAGGCATTCCATCTTAGTCCTCAGGTGTAACAACGCATCTGCGTTTTGATTCTTAATCGGATCGGAGGATGAATTTAGATGTCTATGGGCCACAGCATCCACTTACCATCAGGTGAACTGTGTGCTCGTTAGTCACCCTTATTCTATAAAAATACACACTCTAAAAATACATGGATACAATGAAGGAAATTGATGAAGTATACATTAATAAGTCATTATAATCATCATCATTATAGCATATCAAAGATCTATTGCTGAACATTTTACATTATTTGCCATACTTGACTTCTTTACTCGCATCATAACTAATTATTTAATTTCACAAGCATTCTTTATAGTTATTTTGAGTGTACGCGTTGGAAGCGTATATATTTATACGTTTTGGCCTATAACTGTTATATCATAATAAAGTGTTGCTAGAAGTGAAAATAATTATTTAAATTCAGCACAATCCAATCTAAATAATGTTGCTTATTAAAGAGACAAGTTGTTGCAGCTCTGGGGCTAAGCACTCGCCTATCGCGATAAAATTTAATTCAACCTCGCGCTCTATTGTTAATTGCAATTTTAATTGCTCGTTTACCCCAAGCGTAGAAGAGCTACACTGCACTATAGTATGGTTGTAGCACGAACGGGTCGGGTCGAACGGGGAGAAACCACGCTCTTTCAAAATACCAGCGTAATGGCGTAATAGAGCAGCTTAATACTGCTGTGTTTTGTATGGTGAGTGTAGAGAACCGGATACCCTTTGTACTGTAAACGTGGCATTCCCTCTTAATCTTTAAGTGTAACAACGCATTCGTTTTTTAATTCTTAATCTAGGATAGAATGTAAATGTCTTTCGACCACAGCGTCTCCTGAGTCAGATATAGCTGTAAGAGTCGCACGAACTAACAGCGAAAACATCCCAAAAATAGACGATATTCTATTAAAAATCGCACTAGAGCAGCTCGGCGACTGATTGCTCCGTTACCCTCTTGAAAATGAGATGAGACCTGTTTCCAGCTATGCGACGTATTGGCTATAACTTTACTTTTTTAAAGCATAAAGAAAGTTTTTATTGATTTGAAATAAATTCACGTGACGTTTATAAAAATATGCTAAACCCGTGCGAAGCGATTGGCTTAATAAATAATTATAATTATTTGGCTGAATAATTAAGGTCAAATTTCCAGCAAAAAAGGGTCTCCGGATCTGTACACCCACCATACGAAACACAGCAGTATTAAGCTGCTATTTCACGCCGGTATTCTGTGAGAGCGTGGTCCTTCCCCGGTCGAGCCGACTCATTCGTGCTACAACCATAATATAACTGCAACGTGGCATACCACGTATAAAAAATAGTAGTAATTTATATTCAGTTTACAATTGTTTCCTTCGATAACTATAACGATACCTTTTATCTGACAATTGTATAACGAGGCTTAAATTATTTACCTAATTATTTAAGTTTTTTATAACGTAAATCTAATTTGATGTTTCTTTAAAAACTCTATTTAAATAAAAAGTCAAAGAATCAATTAAGTCACAATGAATACCACAGTGGGTTGAGAAGTGGATTCCGCGCTGGAACGTCTTCCATTTTTGAATTCCAATACAATCGGTATCTCAGCGCGAATTATAGAGAAATTTTTTCGCATCGGCATCCCATTATACCTTAATGCGAAGGCGAACGATGTCGGGGCATTATTAAGAACTTCGTGCTTGGGAATGAACGGTATTTCGCAGAGAAATGAGCCATCTCGGTCAGGTGCTTATTGATATTCACATCCCGATGTAAAGTAATTTTCTATGATAAATGAATCTTGGATTAACGATTTGTCAATCAAAATCAAAAAGCCTTTTATTTACAAGAATATTGTGTAAATCCTACAAAACTTTTGAAGTAAAATATTGTTTGCATTTCAGATCACAAGTCAACAAAAGGCTCTGTTGTTACCTTATCGTGTTACAAAAGTAAGTATAAGTAAAATAAGTTATTTCTCTTCTTTCTTCATCTTTTCGCGATATTCGTTTACTGCCAGGGTTTGCTTTCCAACTAATTTGTGTCCATTATGAACGGTCTGAAACGCCCTCGGTAGTGAGCCCATTGATCCTCATATCCGACCTTATGACGTTCAGCCAGTGCTTTTCGGCTGTGCGGCGTGGCGCTACTCTTGCTTCAACGTTATCAAGGCATCTCCTTACAATTTATTCTATTGTGTACGTATCATGACATGTCCATACTACCTTAACCGACTTTCCTAAATATTATCCGCCACGTCACGTACTCTAAAACTGCCTCGTATATTTATTACATATACAGTCTCACCTCATATTGTCGCGTTATAACATAAATTAATACGCAAAATGTCGCAATTACAGTGAACTACGACTAATATTTTATTATTTTGCAGTTGTTTTGTCACAAAATATCTAACTATTGTTCTGTTCCCAAAATTTTATTTGTAAAATACTGTATCAAACAATTAATGCCTATAATTCAGTTTACTGAATAAAATTATAGACACTAGTTTAAGCATTGCAAAAAAATTAGTTGTATCAAAGTAGCTAGTACCTACCACTTAAAAATACTACCATTTATATATTCTCATACTTGACGTTTATACGAACTTCCATTTTTTATATATCAGATATCTCGTTTTTCACAATAGTTATGTAAACTCTTTTGCTTTGTTTTTAAGCGATGTCATAAGTTATTCTAGAACCGAATAAAATTAAATTACCAATATTCAATCACGTCTAGAATATGTGAATACTATTATTCTAGGTGTTTTTATAATGTGTGTAATTTATTTTAATATATATTTATTATAATCAATAATTTATTGTGACACACCGACAACACTAAGATATGTTGCTAAATAGCTTAACACATTTATTTCAATATATATTGATTATGCATTCCACTTAGTTACACATCGTACACACATAGTACACTATACACTGAACATCTTTTGCTTTGACACAAAGTGTTATTGTGTTACATGTAAATAGTGTTCTGGAGGGGCAAGTATACCATCTGCACGGGAGAGGTATGGGTCTAGGGCAGGGCTCTATATGTGGCTAAACAGCAATGCGCCTGTTACTGTTTCAATTTAAAGGTTGAGATACACTATTAATTACAAGCTGAAACGAATTCTGTCAGTCTTCTGGGGCGAAATGCATCTGTAACCTGGTTTTTTTTAAGTTTACATCGAGTATATATAGTTTGCAGTGTCATAGGTTAACTGCTACCTCATTTGTTTACCTAACTTGGTTAAGAATATGAAAATAAATTGTGATGAAAAAAAAGTAACATATTTTGATAATACTCCGTAAATATCAAATTTCTTTTGCAAGGCCACAACTGTCGTTTGGAGTCGAGTGTTAATTTTATGTCACAAATCACAGTGTATCGCTGACGATATTTTTCTCATGCAATCAAATTGCATCTATTTAATATAATGGGGTCATGTCGAGATGAATCTAAAACAATCACTTCTCAAAACACTTCCAAACGAGGTTATCTATTTATGGTCATCAAAATCAGCATGCCTTAGAGGTTCTGGATAATTATCTGCACATTTAAATAGTAGCTACACATCCTACCCATTTTAGTTTTTTGAACAAAAACTTGATCGCTGTATATCCTAATGATTTAATAAAGTTCAAATGCGAACATTCACCAACATCACTCTTGATAATCAAATAATCAGTAAATAATCAGTTTCTGAAAAAGTAAACTGTTAGATTACAAACTTACTACTTACTAAACATACGATGGTATTTATTTGAAGTTTATCAGTTAAATATATTGATCACAAAAATTATTACAAAAATTATTATCTAACATTTTAATTAAATATTTCATGATCAAAATTTTCATTTCAACATTACATTTCGTACTTATTTTTATATTCAATACACGTTTACGTGAAAATGCGATATTAATGCGTTTGTTTTCAGAAGAGCCTAAAGTCCAGATTGAAGAGGAAGGATATTACACTGAAGCAACGAAGAGAATTAGGGCTAACAGTATTAAAGCGGGTAATCACATTTTAATGAATCAATTTATTGGATAATATTATTATAAAACATTTTATATTTATAATTTATAATTTTCCCTTTCTGATTTACCTACTTACATATTAATAATATTCGTATCATTAATAACTTATAATTATTTATCTAAATCACTGACCTCTATATATACAAGTGGAGGTCAGTGATCTAAATGGATTGTAACTCTCTTTGAATTAAATTTTTAAAACTAGCAGAAGATACGTTGATCGCTGTGGTACATGGATATATAAACTATCAAATAACATATGTATGGTGTATCTTTTACATCGGTCAGAAATATATTTTTACGCTTTTTCAATCATTACTTTAAGCAAGTATAATGCACGTGCTTTCCGAAAGTTGTTAGTTCCGACTTTTGTAGCTATAAGATACAAAATATAAACTTTAAACAAATAAATACCAGTAAAATTATATATTTTACGTCAGAGGCAAGCGATGGTCGAGAGACTTGGGGTACGGGAGCGGATTTTCTCCTCTCCATCATCGGGTTTGCTGTGGACCTCGCCAATGTTTGGCGTTTCCCTTACCTTTGCTATAGGAATGGAGGCGGTGAGTTGGTACAATAAAATACTTCAGTAGTATTATAAAAATAGCGATCAGTCTTCGTACGGGTGATTTTTGGATCTCGACAACAGCGTCATCTAACGATCCAATTGTGAATCTAAGCCATCTAGGGACGCACTTAAACATACACAAAAAAGTCATCAAAAGCGGTCCAGTCATTTATTTATTTAGTAACTGATTTTTATACATAGAGATGTGTACTAAGGGCAGTTTGACAATATTCAGACCGTAGACGCGGGCAGCAGCATCGGCAACAGCAGGTGCGAGATGACGCATTGGACACGGATGAGGACGGCAGTTTGTCTGTCTGTCTGTCTATAAAGCGTGACGATTAAGGTAAAAATTTCTGACTAAGAAAGAAGCTCACGTCCAGTAGTAGTACTATGACGGGGTGATACAAAAAATAAAAATGTTTGCAAATAAATTGTCATGTCTAGCTGGTGCGACTTCTTTCTGCCTGGGATTCCGTCTGAATAGGCTACGCAGCCTTACCTATTTCTGTCGGTAAATAGCAGTACCTCTAATGTTGTGTTCTGGGGTATAATTACAAGCTATAAGGCATTCAGTTTTGATTCCTACAAGTGATATCGCATCTGTAGTCTCTTTGATGTTATTAATCATAGAATACTATAATACATACAAAATAGAACGGAGGGGTGGGTTTAGTCCGTGTAGCAACTAACATGTCACTAACACGTGAATTCTCACGTATAAATGTCAACACAATCAATCGTTTCCAACTTTCGTGTCAAGCGTCGCTGCATGCAAATTATTTAAAAAATGGTAAATTGTGCAATAATTACGTGTCAAAAGCACAGCGGGAAATGGAATTTAAGTAAAGGAGACATATTCTACAACCAGTAAGTCGAAACTATTTATATTTTGTGAATATTAGAAACAAAAAATAAAGAAATATTGATGTGTCAAAAACATTAATCAAAAGTCTAAAATGTGTAAATTCGCTCAGTCAGCGAATCGCGATTATATTAGTGATAATACGACATAATTACTTGTATGTATGCTCCCAGCGACGCCGATCCTCGTACAAAATAAGGTTTCAGTCATTCTATTGTGTATTATACTGTTCTATGTATCCAGTCGTAGTACTATGATGAGGTGATACAGAAAATAAAATTGTTTGTAGAGAAATTGTTATGTCTAGCTGGTGAGACTCCTTTAGTCCTAGGTCTCCGTCTGGATAGGTGACACAACCTTACCTATTTCTACCGGTAAATAGTAGTACCTCTAATGCTGTGTTGTGGGATATAATTACAAGCTATAGGGCATTCCATTTTAATCCCTAGAGGTGATATCGCATCTGTAGTCTCTTTGATGGTATCAATAGACTACAGATGCGATATCACCTCTAGGGAATAAAATGGAATGCCCTATAGCTTGTAATTATATCCCACAACACAGCATTAGAGGTACTGCTATTTACCGGTAGGTAGTACATAGGCGTTACTTTGCGGAAATCCATTATATTAAAATTGTTAAGAATTACTTCGCACACATCATCATTCTCTAAACCATTTCCCATTATCTGGGGTCGGCGCAGTAAATCTTCTTGTTCCATTCCTCTCTATCAGCCGTCATTTCCATACTTACTCCTTTCATTCTCATATCACTCTTCACACAATCGATCCATCTTTTATTCGGCCTTCCTCTGCCCGTGTGTCCCTCCACATTCATATTCAACACTCGTTTTGTGACATGACTTTCATCCCTCCGCATCACATGCCCAAACCATGCCAATCTGCTTCCTCTAACCTTTTCTACCACTGGCGCTACTTTCAGGCTTCCTCTTATATACTCATTCCTTATCTTATCCATCCTTGTCACACCACACATCCATCGTAATATTCTCATTTCATTCGCATGCAGTCTATTTTCATCCTTCTTCTTGACGGCCCAGCATTCACTTCCATACATGACGACAGGTCGGATGATCGATTTGTAAATTTTCCCCTTCAGCCTTATTGGCATTCGGGGATCGCACGTTGTGGCTGTGACCTGTCGCCATTTCATCCACCCTGCGTTAATCCTATGCTGCACAGCTCTATCTATTCCGCCGTCGCCTTGAATGAGGGAACCGAGGTACTTGAAATCTGAGCAGGTAGGCAGTATAGCGCCATCCAACGACATGGGTACAGGACTGGAAAGACCGCCGAAATCACAGCACAGATATTCGGTTTTGGATCTGCTGATCTTCAAGCCAACACTTTCCAGCCTCTGTTGCCACCCCGTCAGTCTGCTCTGTACCTCGATGCCTTCTTCCCCGACAAGCACGATGTCATCGGCAAAGAGCATGCACCAGGGTGCCTCATCCTGCAGGTCCGACGTCAAAGCGTCCATAATCAGTAGGAAGAGGTAAGGGCTCAATGCCGACCTTTGGTGCAGCCCTACCGCCACATCGATACTGCCCGTAGTTCCCGCGGCAGATCGTACAGATGTACGGGATGCTCTGTACATAGCACGGACTAACCTCACATACTTCCCAGGCATACCTTTCATCTTTAACGCCCACCACAAAACCTCACGGGGAACCCGATCGTACGCCTTTTCAAGGTCGACAAAAACCATGTGCAGATTTTTATGCACGCGCTTGTACTTTTCGCACAATTGGCGTAATGCGAAAATGGCATCTGTCGTACCTCGACCGGTCATGAATCCGAACTTGTTTTGTGTTATCTCACACTCTTCTCTCATTCTTTTCTCTATTATTCTTTCCCAGACTTTCATCGTATGTGACATGAGTTTTATTCTCCGGTAACTGCTGCAGTTTTGAACGTCTCCTTTGTTTTTAAAAATGGGGACCAGTATACTACTGCACCATTCCTCAGGTATTTGTTCTTCCTGCAACAATTTACCGAAAAATAAACTCAACCACTTCCATCCATCCGCACTCAGCAACTTCCACACTTCTACTGGTATTCCATCTGGGCCGACCGCCTTCCCATTCTTCATATTCCTAACAGCCATTTTTACTTCTTCCACACTAATTTCTCTCACTAAGCCCATATTCACTGGTGAGTTTTCAAGCATACCATTCCATTCATTCTCCTCATTCATCAATTTCTCAAAATACTCCTTCCATCGCTTCTTTATACTTTCATCGTCAGTCAAAATCCTTCCAGAATCATCTTTTATACATTTTACATGTGAAACATCTCTTCGATTCATTTCACTCGCTTTTGCAATTTGAAAAAGTCGTTTTTGACCTTCGGGGCTTTCAAGGGACCGATATAATTTATCTTGCGCCTCTGCCCTACAAATAGCAACTTCCTTCTTTGCTCTCTTCTTACATTCTTTATACGCCCCTCTCTTACTTTCTTTTATGGAATCATTCTGGTCTTCTACGCTCTGCCATTCTTTAAAGGCATTTTTCTTTTCTCTCAAAACTTCTCTAATACTTTCACTCCACCACCACCCATCCTTATCTATCATACGCTTCCCTTTTTGTTTCTCCTAACACCTTCCTTGCCACACTTCGGATACAATCAGCCATTTCCTTCCAGCACACATTCACATTCATTCCTTCCATATCACCCATCTCTATCATCTTGTTTACAACTAGCTCTCTAAATTCACTTGCATACTCCTCCTTATGCAACAAATGCCACTTTATTTTGGGTGGGGGACGATCCTTATGTTTGTTGAGGCGAACAGTTAAGCAGATGTCAGCCAGCAGAATTCGGTGCTGGGATACTAAGTCTTCACCTGGAAGCACTTTGCAGTTTTTTACACTCTTGATTTGGTTCCGTCTTATCAGAAGATAGTCGATCTGTGTCGCGTGGTGGCCACTTTTATAAGTAACAAGATGCTGATCTCGTTTTTGGAACCACGTGTTTACTACACCCAGGTCGAAAGCACATGCTGCTTGCAGAAGAACTTCCCTCTCACGGTTCCGCACTCCGTACCCCCCATCCACCGTGTACTCTTTCATACCCGTCATTCACTCTCCCTACATGTCCATTAAAATCTCCTCCCATATAAACATCCTCACTCTCAGGTATTCCCATCATCATACAATCAAATTCCTCCCAAAACTTCTCTTTCACACTCTCTTCACAGCCTGTTTGCGGAGCATACACACTTACAACATTCACTACTTTGTTTTCAATCATTAATTTAACAACTATCATTCTGTCATTTACTCTTTTCACATCTGTCACTCGTTCTTTCATTCCACTATCTAACACAACTCCTACTCCATTTCGCTTCCCATCACTTCCACAATAATAAAACTTGTATCATTCCCCAATCTCTCTTGCTTTATTGCCTTCCATTTTGTTTCCTGCAAACAGGCAACATTCACTCTTCGTCGTTTCAAAACATCTGCTAACTCTCTTTCTCTTCCAGTCATCGTACCTACATTCCAGCTTGCAAACCTCACTCTG